TTAAGATTGAGCAAACAGAATGAAGACGTGAATTAATAAAGAAGTTAAGCTCCAATCTTAACTAACCTTTAATTCTTCTAACTCTTCTATTTTGCTAGATAATTATTTTTCTCTGAGGATGTATTGGTCGTCGTTAACATTGAGCTATTATAATGCTAAAAACACCAGCACCTTTTCCGGCATTGTCGAGTGACCTCAATTGCGTCATCAGAGAGTTAATGAAATAATCATATGCGGATAACTTGAGAATGACAGATGTACGCCATTGGCCGATATTTATAGTAACAGACGTCATTGAAGGATTCCCACTTTGTTGTCGTTTACGGTGGCAAGACTACGCAAAGCACTATTGCAGTACTTTTAAAGCCTGTAGCGTACAGTGGCGTGGTGGCGAAGTAATTGTGCGCTTGTCTCCAAATCAGAAAGTCCAGGTTCGAGCCTAGGTTCGGCCTCGGATTTTTTTTCGCCCCCTCCTGCCCACCCACCTGTATTGGGTACTGACTTCAAGTTGGGGAAGTAAAGGACACATTAAAAAAAAAAATTCTCAAAATATATATAAAAGACAACTGAAAAAGCATGTGATGTTGTGATTTTGATGGAATTAAAAAACATACAAAAATTGGTCATTTTTGAAAATTAACAAAAAAAAACCCCACAACCTCAATGACGTCTGTTACTATAAATATCGGCCAATGGCGTACATCTGTCGTGATCAAGTTATCCGCATGTGAAAAAATCTCTTGTTCAACAAATCGGTACCTCAGAATTACAAGGTTCTATCTAACCAGCAACTAGTTTTGAGAAATTTGACGTAACAAATTTTGAGTTTCACATCATGTCAAGCTTTTTTCGAATGCAATTCTCTGAATGTCTTGATAACGACTCAGAATAATCTTACAGTTTTGATAGAGCAGATAGAACATTTAGTTTCTGATCTCGTGGTCTTCTTAGTAACTCAAAACGGCCCAAAAGGTCAGAGAGAACTTCGTAATCCTGAGGCAGTGAAATATATAATAATAAATAATAATAATTGCATTTAAATATAGCATATCCATGCTCAAGAGCTTGCTCTATGAGCTTTACAACTATTATTACCCCGGCAAACCCTCTGAGAACACCCAGAAACCTTCTCGGCTTCCGCAGAAGCATACAGTGCAAGCTGCGGATTTCATGCGCTCAAACACTATCAAACTGACAAGATCATTCATTGTCTACAACCGGATACCCATTTCCACCTGGGTGAAGTGAGGAAAATTTGTGCAAAGTGGCTTTCCCAAGGACACAACGTCGGGCCCGTGACAGGATTCGAACCCACCCCACGACCTTATGGTTTCGAGTCCGAGAGCCTAACCACTAGGCCACCGACGCCACACAATCACTTTCACACTATGGCTGAAAGTGTTATGACACATGTAAGCCAATATAATATAAACTGCTGACCACATAATATGATATAAGAACATCATGACACCAAAGACTCGCACCACTCCTACACACCTAATTACTGCCTGTGAGGAATTTTGGTGGGAGTAAGTAATACGTTATGTCAAAACACAACAACGAAAAAATAAAATAAAATAAAAGCCCCCCCCCCCCCCCCAAAAAAAAAAAAAAAAAAAAAAAAAAAAAAAAAAAAAAAAAAAAAAAACCCCCCCCCCCCCCCCCGAAAAAAAGAAAAGAAAAACGAAAGAAATAAAAATAAGAAAGAAATACCACCTAGGTGTAATTACTCCCCAGAGGAAAGGAGTGGTTTTTCCGAATTCGTTTCTTCAACGTGACTGTGGGGGCGGCGGGCAACGTCACGCGCAGTGAGTGGGTTATGATTTAAAAAGTCGTTCACGATTCCAACTCATGATGGCATCCCTCTTTTTAGGTCAGTTTTAATCATAGTAAGACTGACGATGGCATCTCTCTTTTTAGGTCAGTTATCATCTAAGTAAGACTGAGTTTTATGGAACTTGCCACACCATTAGGTTATATAAGTGCCGAAGATTAGAGGTGTTACTAAAAAGTAACTTACGCAGAAAAGAAGGAAGAGAGATGATGACGATAGATGTTTGATAGGAAAGGAGTGCATCTACGCCAAACGAGAACGCTCGCTTGCTTTACTATCCACTAGGCGTAGCACCTGTGCTTCCCAAAAACTTGACCGTTTTTCGACTGGTGGTGTGTTTTAAAGTCTGGTTTATCACGGTTTTTAAGGACAGTTATAGAATCTAGTTCTATCCAAGCGGACATAACGCGCCAGCAGTCTCTCACTCTCCTCCTCCTTCTCCTCCTCTTATATCTCTTTATCATCTTCCTCCTCTTTCTCCTCCTCCTCCTCCTCCTCCTCCTCCTCATTCTTCTTCTTCTTCTTCTTCTTCTTCTTCTTCTTCTT